ATCGATATCTTCGTCACCCACCAATTTCATAATGTATCTTCGTTTAATCTTTTAAAATTACGAAAATGCCATTAAAATAATAATAATAATAAATTGGGTGTTACAGCAGGCGCTGGGCGCAATCTAAATTGCGCTAGGCGCGTGAGAGCCTTGGGCTCTCTGGCTGGGTCACGCCGGGCGCGAGCACTCTTGCGCCGGGCGCACTGGCCCCTGGTGCTCTCTGGTTGCGTCACGCCGGGCGCGACTATGAGTGCGCTGGGCGCATATGAGGATGTGGAAGTATATGCTGATAGTTGTTGAATTATGTTGAAATTGTTAATAAATGTTGAATAATGATGTTAAGTTGTAATAGATTTATATTGTCGTGCTGAGCTGGGCTGTTATTGATGATTTTAATGCTGAATTATATTATGGCTGTACTATAGAATGTTGAACGGAGTTGTGAGTAGTAAGTTGTGTTGAATACTACTTAGCTGTGCTGTATGCTGATTTGTTGTGCTGTGTTGTGAGCTATGTTAGCTGGGCTGTGAGTTGTTTGGCTGTGCTGTATATTACTGAGTCGTATGTTGGTTGTAGCCACTATTGTGGTGCTGTTATAGCCGCTATGGTGGTGTTGTTATAGCCACTATTGTGGTGCTGTTATAGTCGCTAAGTCGGTGCTGTTATTGCCGCTATGCGATGCTGTTATAGCCACTAGATTGATGCTGTTATTGTTGTTATGCAGTGCTGATATTGCCGCTTTACGGTGCTGATATTTGCTGAATGCTGTGATGTAGTATAAGCTGGTTGATGTGCTGATAGTTGTAGCTGTTTACCATTCATATTGTTATATATGTATGTTGATTTCTTTTCACTAGCTTACCCTTTGTTGTTTCCATTGTGTTTGGACTGCGATGATAATATTGTTATATGGGAGCAGAGCAGGGATAGGTTGGTGGTTGGTGGTAAGTCTGCAGCTGGCAGATAGAGCTGATCCATTTGGGTGTTTTGTTGTTTTAGCTACTCGGTGTAGTAGTGATTGATGTATTTTGTACACTTTAACTCTAGCCAGACTTGGACCTTGTATATATATATATATATTCTAGACACTATATGTATACACGTGTTCCTTTCTGTGTGGTGTTTTTGGTGTGCTGTGCTGTGTGTAGTAACCAGCCGGGTCGTTACAATTATACTCTTATTTTATTATAAATTTATTAATGAATCTTCTGATATTTTTCATGAAAGTAAATATATTTATTAGATAACTAACAATATAATATATCTTGCTTATTAGTTAAAAAAATCAATTAAAAATATCATTAAACATAACTATCATTTATACTATTTAATTTTATGAGTATTTTTTAAATAAAATTTTAAACTATAATATTATTAATTACAACTAACTAAATTAACCATCTTCATTGGTGTTGATGATGAATTAGATTTTTGTTTCTTATATATAAAAAGGAAAGTAAACTTGTATACTATAAATTAAAATTCATAAAATTGAGAGATAGTGTAACCTCACTTTCCACATCTAACACCAAGAATTTGTTGGTACTAGTTGCATTAGGTCAATCTTCTTAAGAAAATATATTAAATTCAAGTCATGTGAATAAAAAAAATGTGATTAAAAAAAATTCCAATAAACATATTTTTTATCAAAAATTAAGTTGACAAATAATTCCTTAAAATAACTAAAAATTTAATCATTCAATCATTTTAAATCATTCTCATTTTTTATTCACTCTATTTATATTTATTTTTAAATTAATTTTTGACAATTTTAAAAAATATCAATTATTAAAATAACCAACCATAGATTTTATATTATTAAATTAAAAGATAATTTATATTCATATTCAAAATATTTATTAATTATAAATTTCAATTATATTATGATTAATATGTTCATAAGAATATTTATTACTCCCTCTATCTTATAATAAACCTAATGTAAAAAGAAAAAATTATTTCAAAACAAGTCTCATCCTAATTTTTTAATATAATATTAATTATTTTATTTTCATTCATATCTTAAATAATATCCTCTATAATGGTGTTGTATTGCATTGTTTTTAATGAACAAAGTTAATAGTAGGTTAATTTTAAAATAAAAAAATTAATTTTATAAAATTATAATTTTATTTATTTATTAACTTTTCTCAATATACATACGTAAAATAATTTAGCATGTCATTTATTATAGAACAAGGAAATATAAATATTAATAATGTAAGAAATATTTATCACATAGTAATATAAAAACTAAATTACTACTCCCCCATTTTTTTTAATAGTCAGTTTTTAACTATATTTTTATTTTTATTTATTTGTCATTTTTTAAATTTAAGACAATATTAATTACTATTTTACCAATTATATTTTTATAATCTACTTAAATTTTTAATTAATTTCCATTTTAACAACTAAAATGTATTTATTATAAAACAAAAATAAGAAGAAAAAAAGATAATAGAAAGCGTTAAAGTTATTTTATGAATAAACGGGAATTTTTATTACAAATCTCAATTTGAGAATAATAATTTTAAGTTAAGAGATAACATTTTTTTTTTTTATTAAGAAATAACGAAAATAGTCATTATTTCTCCAATTTATTTCCCTGCGATAATCTCGTGAGATGGCAAAAACGACAAATTGAAAAGTGTGGTCATTTTTGGTAAGCTCGTGCAACAGTGACGACATAGTGTTCATTATTTTCGGAAGGAAGCGTCAAAATATGTTCCTACGCAGCAATTACCTATTATAAAAAAAATTTGATTATATATATATATTAAAAATAATTATTTATATTAAATTTTATAATTTTTAAAAATTATTATTGCTATAAATAGAAGTAATGCAATTAAAAATTATGTATTAAAAGAATGATATTTTAAAAAAAAATTATTTAAATGATAAAAAAGTTGTAAAATTTATTTATACTAAATTCTTTTTTATAATTGTTAATAGAGAACAGAGTAGAGTACGGGACTTGCTTTGCCTCCCCCTTGAAGCGTCGCACGTGGATGCTGAACAAGACATTTGGATCTGCCATTCACAATTTTTTGCTACAACTTTTTTTTTTTTTACATTATTAACAACTATTTTAAATCCTGTGTTATAGACTTCACGGTTTTAGAACATAAAAATAAAACAAAACTTTTGTGTAAAATAATTATTTGGGAGATAAAATATTTTTTTTTCTAAACCCTAATTAATTCAAAAGAGTGGGCAGGAGAGGAATTTTAATAAATAAAAAATAAGTTAGGATGTCGAAGGGAGGAGATGGAAGGAGTAAAAAAACTTTATTTAGTTGAAAGAAAAGGAAGTAATTTTTCTTGTCTAGTTCATAAGAAAATGAGAGAAATTTTAAAAAGTAATTTATTTTTGTATTCATATAATTTTAAATCAACTTAAATATGGTTTTAGTTTTTAAAAGATAAAGAAGTTTTAATTATGGTTTTTGTGACTTTTTCATTATTTTTTATTCCTCCAAAATTTAGAACTATTTTTTAATTTTATTATTATGTAATATTTTTTAACTACTTATATATTTATGAGATGTTTAGAGCATTCTCTTGCACTTACATTCACGATAGAATAAAATGAGATTTGAGCTCCTTTTAGGTATAATATCTAGACTTTATTAATTGTTACTACTGTGATAAGGTACACTTATCTTAAGCTTTTTTACACCAACACTCCATGATGAGTGTCAAAAGTTCATATTGAAGGACACACAAACTAGAGAGTCTTAAAGCCAATGATGAACTCAAGAAACCCAAGTTAACCCTACTACGTGTGATATAGAATGATTGAGAGGATCAACCTTATTTTTAGGGTGTGCTCTTTAACTAACTTATAATTATTCATTCCTTTTGCAAGAGGTGGCATGGATGATGCGTTTCACATATGTGGGGAGAGGGTGGAGCTTATCATGCCTTAACTATGTGTGGGAAGATTCTAGACTCATTTTAGTATAGGCCCATGGGATAGGTCTATACCTGTCGACGTAAGTTAGTGAGTATTATTTATCTAATATAGATTGACCTATTCGATTGGTCATGATTCTTTTTTTGAGGTCGATCAATATGCTTAAGTGATCCTTAATCTCACATACTAAGTCTTGATGTTATATTTGATTTGTCTACCTAAATGATTCAAAAGGAAGAGGAAAAAAAAAACCAAGATTAAGAAAGAAAAAAAAATGTTACTACTGTTGTTTCTAAATTTAAAAACTTAATTATCTAAGTAAGCAAGATTAATAAAAGTAGTTAATTTGGTTGATAATAATAAATTTGTCATTTTTATTTATATTTGTATCAGAACTATCCTTATACTACTATTCTCTCTTAATTACAACCTTTCACTAAACCCCTCATCTCTAAAGCTTGAGTATATGAAGAGGCAACATTATAATACATCTCCATTAAAGAATCTATTATTAATGTATTCCATTAGATTAAAAGAATATATTTTAATTAGGATTATTCTAGTCTAAATATAATTAATTCATGAGATAATATGAACCATGTATCATATAAGGAACAAAAATTATTCTAAACTAGGTCTTAAAATTAGGAACTAAATTATGAAATAAGCATGCATGATATATGAATATTAACTATTTGCATTAAATATGATGTGATACTACAACTTTTTTTTTTTATGCTTAACGGCACATTAGAAAAAGATCTTAGTAAAATTAATGTTTTTATTCTTATGTGACAATATGAAACAAACTTCAATTTTTGAAAGATGATGACTTATCAATTATTATGGACCAAAATAAAAGAAAAAGTAATATTATTTTTTATTTTATTTATTATGAATTAATAAATTGAAAATGGATAATTTAAAACCTATAAATGTTTCCTTCTTTTTTTGTCATTAAATCCATCAATCAAACCTTGATTGCTCAAATCCACACAAAGTATGACACAATTATCATCACCATCATGATGATAACAAGGACATAAAATTAAATAAAAATGTAAAATAAATTTTGAATATTCTGTTGAAGGATCTTCTTTCATTCTTTTTTCTTACCTTTGATTCTTTAAGGAAAAATTATGGTCTCTTTCATGCATTATCCACATAATACATATGTGTTTCCAATAATACAAGAGGTCACAAAGACAAAATCAACATTGATTAGCTTAATACAACCTTTAGAACAATGAAAGCAAGATTAGGATTAGCTTCATTATGTAGGAAGTTGCACAAAAATTGATTAGTCGCTGAAACATAATTAAGTCTGATTTGAATGTCAAGCACTAGGGTCAGGGCCAACCGGTTTTGAATTGAGAAGTGGTTGGAGAGCTTTGACAACAATAGTCATATTTGGCCTAAAATCAGCTTCATACTGCACACAAAGCGCTGCAACTGCTGCTAACTACATAATCACATCAAACAATGGTTAAAACTTTATAGTATCTTGAATATTAGGTGGCTAACTATGTAACCCCATCAAAGATTGGTCACAACCTCATGTTATCTTAAATATTAGGGGCATTAAGCAAATGTGGCTTAAAGACTTATTTAATAAGACAAAACTTAAATGTAAATCCTTAGGTATTTTTAGTGTTATTCTCTAACTAAAATTAAAGTTTTACTTCAATAATTCACATTATAAAGTTTTACATTAAATTTTAGTTTAAGTTCTTAAGGTCAAGCTCTAATTCTAATTAGATAACAAAATTAAAAGCTCAAAATTCTCTTATTAAATAAAAAAAATTATTTATAAGCTTGATCATACAATATTTTGAAATAATCTAAAAATAACCTATATCAATAATTTCTTCTTGCCTATCAAAAAAAATTCTTCTTAAAAGTTAAATAATTAAACTAAAAAACTTATATGAAGGTCATAAACCACTAAGTTCAAATAAGCTTTTCCAAAAAAATTTGGTTGTTGATGAAATGATTATCAAGTTAAAAGAAAGAACAAGGGAGATAACCTTAGCAATTGCCTTAGGTGGGTAGTCATTATTTAGTTTAGGATCCACACATTGTTTCACTTTGTCTTCACTTAATCTTGGAGTTGCCTATAATCATTAGGAATCACATTTGTAAAAGAATAAGTAATGATGAAAAAAAATTGAAGGACATCAGAAAAAAGGGCAAAAAATTCATCTAAACCAAGGTTGTGTGTTGGTGATTAAGACATACCCAAGTTACAAGACTTTGTTGCCCTTTAGGCATTGTATGGTCCACTGGTTTTCTTCCTGTTAAAAGTTCCAAAAGCACAACCCCAAAACTATAAACATCACTTTTTTGGGTTATTTGCCCAGTCATGGCATACCTGCAAATTAAAGTAAATCAATTTGAAAACATGCAATTACTTAACAAAAATGGTATTTACTTAAGATAAGAAACTAAATATTGGCTACGAAGCTTTAATCTTATATAGGAACATGTTCTACTTTTATTTTGCTATCTACACAAATGTTTTTAATATTATTCATTTAGGATTCAAAAATTGCTTTCTTTAGTTCATCTTAAAAAACTAAGCCTTTTCAAGTTAATAAGGACATAATTGCATATAAATTGATCATGTATTATCTAATAAAGCATTAAACATGCATCATGTAACAAAAATGAATCTCTAATCAAACTAAGACTAAGGTAAAGTTCAAGCATACTCTGGAGCATGATAACCAAATGTTCCTAAAACTCTTGTTGAATGTAGTCGAGCTGCAGTGTCAGAAGACTGATTTGTCAAGTTGAAATCTGCAATCTTGGATTCGTAGTCATCAAAGAGCAAGACATTGCTAGATCTAATGTCTCGATGAACTATCGGAGGTTGAACCTTTTCATGAAGAAACTCAAGTCCCTTTGCCGCACCAAATGCAATTTTTACTCTTTGGTTCCAATTTAAAACTGGACCAGGTTCAGCCCCTTGCACTCCTTTTCTTCCTACAACATCAAAAGTCAAGTGTTTAACTACAACACAAGAATCATTGCCTTAATATAAAATGTCATTAGTATTTGTTAGGTCTACCATGTAATATGTCATGCAAAGAACCCAAACTTGCATGTTGATAAACCAAAATTCTGTTATTTTCCTCTAGACAATATCCCATTAACTCCACAAAATGGTCACTCTTCAATCTTGAAACAACTGATAACTGCATGATGAATAGTGGCATTATGTAAATTGCGACAATTTCACTAGCTAAAAGATTTCCTAATGATTTAAAATCTTTTATAGAAAAAACTTACTTGTGATGCAAAGTCAGAGTCAGGTTCTGGCGAAGAACTAGTATCTAGCTTCTTGATTGCAACATCCATACCATCACTTAACGTTGCATAGTAAACCCTTCCATAAGAACCTTCTCCTATCAATGCCTTTGTACCAAAGTTATCTGTTAATCGATTTAATTCATCCAATGAAATAGCTGGTATTTCAATTGGCAACTCTTTCTGTGGAGCACCACTTTTGGCAGGGTTTCCCCTTGGCTCTCCTCTATCACCACCTATATTGAAATTTTACTCAAATGTAATTGTTTCTCTACCTATATAATGAATTACTTAACTATAGGTTGAAAACCATGTGAAAACAATATACATAATTGGACTATTCTATCGATGTAAATGTTATTTGAATAATTAGGATAGTAAACTATAACAATACAATTTATTTCCCTATAAATTGTGTAAAATAACTTATAGATGATGGTTATGAAAATATAAAGAAAATTTTAATTAATTGGTAATCCATATCTATTTCATGTTTCAATGTATTTTATGGGCATTCCTAAAACTTAGATTATATATTTTCCTTTCTTTCATTCCTCACATTTACTCTTTTATTTCTCAAACAAGGTAAATTAACTTACACTTTAAGGTTTTTTGCAAATCATTACCTACATTTTCATCTATTACAAGCAAAGTTCAAAACGCAATTATGATTCTTCAAATGAAGTCATAAAACACTCAGTACTATCATTCAATGTGTCTTGTATCATTTGTCAAATTGCCAATTACATGTTTTTTAGTAACAGAGAAGGAAATTATAAATATTGTATAACATGTTATAATGGATGATGAGAAATATGAAAAACTTTAGAAAAAGTTTCAAATAGACAAATTGATTTTAATCTTATGTTTTGAGTTTTAAATATTTTTCATTCATCAACAAGCAAAAAATTGTTATTGAAAGTGGAACAATAGGAGAAAGAGAAATCATACAAATGATGAATAAATTAAGGGAAAAAAATAAGTTTTTTTACCTCCTCCACCACCATATGTATTACCCTTTCTAGGTGATGTACTATATTGGTTTGTAGGTGGAATGCCAAAATCCTCTTCTGCACCTCCGCAACACAACATAGCTCAAAATAGTCTAATAGAAGCACTAGTCTCAATAAGCCATTCAATGTGAACGATGTCTTATGAATGATCTGAAATTATTGTAACACAAATTTCTTTTACCAAATACAAGTTATTAAAAAGGAGGAAGTTAGCCTTTTAAATTCAAAATCAAGCCATACAATTTAATGGTATCATATACAACTAAACAAAGTTAATATATGATAAGTTGATACAATAGCTCAAATGTACAAGGAGAAGAATAAAATTCTTGGTTTTCAAGGATAACTTGAAGAAAAAATAAAGTTACCAAGGATTACAAGTACAACCCCTCAATTTATTTTTGCATTCTTTTATTTTGAGAATTAAATTCCCTCTTTATGCATAAATTATTCCTTCACCTAAAATATTCCAAATAAATAGAGATGTTTACCAATATCAACAAAAAAAAAAGACAAATGTAAAGATGGAGAAATTACATGGCTATGGATTTGTTTTGTCATTGTTGAACTTACACAATCAACCAAGCATAAAATATATTAACAAGGTTGAAATCTACAAGGAAGAATAATAAATTATACACCAAAGACATTACCTCTGACTTGTTGAACAAGCCAGAAATCTCAAAAAGACAATATACAGTTGATGTTGAATCTCGAAGGATAATGAAAAGAATATTATATAATAACAGGATGTAAGGGAAGAAGAGGAAGAAAATTGTTTTTCTTCCAACTTCTTCCAAATGAAATGAAGCATCATTGTGAACAAAAGGCACATGTTGGTGTATTTCCCGACAAAATCGGTTACTAACAAAAAATAATAATTAATTAATTAAATCAAGTGTTGTTCAACCTTAACCTTTCTAGGGTTGTGTATGTGCCACCACGATGCATGTACTTCGCTTGTTACTATTTTAATGGTCAATCTCTTTGATTTGTTATTCTCATATCACCGCATGTTAATGAGTGATATGTACACTTTCATGTGTCATACTAATGTGAAATCTCTTACATTGATGTAAAATTCAATCAAATCAACTTGGTTAATATTTTTTATTGCTAATTAAGTCAAAATCAGTGAATGATGTTAAGAAAAAGAAGAGCAAAAAATATATTTATCTACCATTTTTCTTTAGCATGCATGTGTTTTATATTTTCCTTTCTAAAAAAAATAGCATATATTTGTTTTGCAATATATCCACCTATAATTCATAAGTTAAAATAAAATTTTAAATTTAAATGCCATTTAATAAATTGAATGAAATAAAAAAAATTAAGAAAATATAATTGTTATTTTAAATATAATATGCATTATCAATTTATTTTATATGAAATCTTTAAAAAAAATCACGTATGATAATTTTATATGATATTAAAAGAAAAAATTTTGATATCTTGTAAAACTTCATGCTCAAGTAAAAATACTTTGTTTTAATGAAAGAAATTATCATTAAGTAATTTAGGACAAACGCTCAAAAATAAAAGATATAACTTAATTACGTTTCATCAAATAAATATTATTATATTTTAATGAATCAAAATATAACTTCAAATGAGAAATATGTAAATATGAAATTTAATATTAAAATATATTGTCATGTGCAAATTAATTTCAAATTTCCATCAATTTTTTCTTAAAGATATAATATGCAACATTTTATTCATTACTTTCTTGTATCATTCTATTTCTTCATCACCTATTTGAACTAGAATGTTCTATAGAAAAGATATTATTTTGATGAATATAAAAAAATAAATTTATTTTTATTTGTTAAATAAATAAAAAAAAGAAAGTGGAAATAAATAAATAAATAATATGATAATATTTTGTGTTAATTAAAAATATTTATTTCTAAAATGTTCTTTATTTATAATTCAAAATAATTATTTTGATACCTCTTTCTCTCTCTCGTATTCAATTTTGTTTAAACCTTTCTCTTAAAAGAAGTAATTTACATTTTCTGCCAACAAATATTATTCATCTCTTTCTTTGATTTCTTAGGAATAATTTATCTTTTTCTCTTCTAATGGGCTTTTTTTTTGCCTAGTTTAGTTTTAATATATGAATTTAATAAATATGTATTGTTAGTGTACAAAAAATACACTATCAATCAATATTAGGGTTGGGAAAAAAGTGACCTAACCTACACCCAATTTAAGGAAAAACGATTAAGGGATGTGGGAATTGTCTTTCCATTATAACGTTGTGTTGTATGATATATATATATATATATTGTTTTATTTGTTATTTTCAAATCTCTAAAGATTAATAAATTCTCGTAAGTTTAGTTGTTTAGAGTTCTTTTATGGTGAGGTTAAAGTTGACCAAGAATGGAGAAGATATATAAGGTTTTTTTTAGAGAACTTGAACTTCATAAGTTCATTTCTTTAAATTCTAGAGAGAAGACAAGCTATGGGGTCAAGGACATTTTCTTCATTTGATTTCACTAGTGTAACAGCCCGATTTTCACAGATTGGTTGAGGGCCCAAAGGCCCAATATGGTTGATTTAGTAGCCCAGAACGGGCCGTTCCCAAATCGGAACGGGCCGTTCCAAACGACTAAAACGAGAGTGATTTTGTATCCCAAAACGGGCCGTTCCCAAACTAGAACGGGCCGTTCCAAAATACAAAAATTGTCTACAAATTTTAGATGAGAACGGGCGTTCCCAAATTGGAACGGGGCGTTCCCAAATTGAGAACGGGCCGTTCCAGAGTTGAGAACGGGCCGTTCTAAAATATGACTGTTGTGAGTATTAAATGCACCCCCAGAACGGGCCGTTCTGGTTTGAGAACGGGCCGTTCTGGATGTGATTTTTTAGTTGTGAGTTAAAGGTCCGGAACGGGCCGGTCCAGATTTGGAACGGGCCGTTCCGACGAAGTCTGATGCCTATAAATAGAGCACTCTGCCACTCCCAAAAAGCACACCTCTCATTTTCTAATTTCTTTTCTTCTGCTCTCTCTTCTTTCCCTCTACTTTATGCTTCAAGACCGAGGGAAACCCAGTGAGGGAGACCAACCAGATCTTGCGTAGGTTCAACTACTACTTATCAAGGTACGGGGAAAAAAGGATTATTTGTATGCAAAGTTACATGAGGGAATTGGGTAGAAGAGGAAGCTCGTAGGGTTATGAGTAATTTTATAATTAATTCTGTTTGGAGAATTATTGGTCTTATGTGATTCTGTATATATTTAGGATTATGAATATATGTTTAGTTTAAAAGAATGATGATTTGAGAGAGAGAACAAAATTATAGAAAAGTGCCTGTAGGCTAGGTTTTGGAAAAATTGGATTATTTCTGTTTGAGAAATTGATGATCCCATTAGATTCGTTATATGTTGAGGATGAGAAATATATATTTAATTTGTAAGAATGATGATCTGGGAGAGAGAACGAAATTGTAGAAAAGTGCCTGTGAGTTAGGTTCTTGAATAATTGAGGATTTTACCGTTTATGTTAAGATTATATTAAATTGATAATTCCATTGATTATTATATTAATTTAAGAATGTTATTGTTATATTATTTGATAAAATTAATGATCTAGATGTGAATTGCTTGAAGGGGGTGTAAACCCTTATTTTGTTAGACTTATCTGTTGTGTATGTGATAAGGAATTGTGTATGTGATATGGAATTGAACTATGAAATGTTGTGTGGAATGTGAATGAGATGTGATTGTGGTTCTTCACACCTATGACCAGGGGTGAGCACGGTCCGAGATTGTTACATGGGTATCGTGACCTTGGTTAACATGTCAAGGGTGAGCACGGCCCTGAGTTAGGGGTAACGTGACCTTGGCATAGTGTTATATCAGGGGTGAGCACGACCTGGGATTGTTACATGGGTATCGTGACCTTGGTTAACATGTCAGGGGTGAGCACGACCCTAGGTTAGGGGTAACGTGACCTTGGCACAATGTTATATCAGGGTTGAGCACGGCCTTGGATTGTTACGTGGGTATCGTGACCTTGGTTAACATGTCGGGGGTGAGCACGACCCTGGGCTAGATATGCTACAGGGGAATCGTGACCTTGGTTATATCAGGGTTGAGCACGGCCTTGGATTGTTACGTGGGTATCGTGACCTTGGTTAACATGTCGGGGGTGAGCACGACCCTGGGCTAGATATGCTACAGGGGAATCGTGACCTTGGCACAGTGTTATATCAGGGGTGAGTACGGCCTTGGATTGTTATGTGGGTAGCGTGACCTTGACATAGTGTGAAGTGCAAGATTTGTGATGATTGGTGTGATTGAGAATTATGACTTGATGACGATGCATGATTGATTAAAATACGATATGTTAAAATATTTATGAATATTAAGTTATAATGAGTTATGATTATGTTGCATTTTTCATTGTGTGCTTTTCATATAAATGTTTTCTTTTCTTACCGTACAAATTGTGGATATTTTAGGTGAGGAAGATCCGGCTACGAGTGGCATGTAGAATGCCAACAGTTGAATTGTGGGTATGCTCTGATATTGTGACATCGGGGCCGAGAATTTTTAGGACATAGATTTTTATATGGATTTGGCATTGTAAATATGATTTTGAAAACAATTTGTAAACTCTCAAGTTTTATTTTCAATTATTATGTTGGTTATTGATAAATGTTTCTAAAGGTTTTTATGTGAACCCTTTTAGCAACTTTGAAAGTTTATGTTTCTTAATTTAATTACATTATTACAATGTATGTGTTGGGGTAATAAGGGTGTCACAACTAGGAGCATCTATATCATTCCTTGGAGCTGAGTTTGCGTAGTAAAAGTAGAGAACCAAGTTGGGGACTTGAGAATCATAAATAAAAGTTATTGTATAATGAGTGTTGCAATTTGTTATTCTTTATTGTTCTTCTCATTTTCCTTGATTTCAGGAGCAATTGAAGTAAGAGAAATTTGTAATTCTTCACATTCTTGAGTTGTTGTTGTTAATTGTTGAGTTGAATTTCCTATTGATGGCATTTGTGTTGAATATGAGAAGTTGTTGAGTTTTGGTTCTAGGTTTTTGGGTGTCTATGGTTTTTAAAGAAAAATGATGATTTTGAATCATAATGTTATTGCATGAAGTCTTGATTTATAAGTCGTATGAAGTGGGTTGAAGGTGAATTTCAAGTTTCATGTTAAGATTGTGTTGTATGTTAGCTAGATTTGAAGTGATAAGATGAGTTCTCTTTGGTGAAATCCTGTTCTCGCCCAATGAGATGTTTATAGCGCCCGACACACATTTATGACTGAAGAAAACCTGCCTAAAATCATAATCTCGGTCTACGACAGAAGTGTCACCTAACAAAAAGATGATTTTATGGGTAAGCTCGACCAATTAGGCTTCATGTGCCCTATGAAAGGACCCACAGGGGGTTTGGCTTGATAAACAAGCCTTGGTCATCTAGCTATAAGCTCTAGTGGAGTTTATTTGCTTGACAAGCCAAAGCTTACCCAACAAGGAAATTCATAATGCATTTTCCTCAATGAGTGAGAGTAGCTTAGAATGTTTAATTGAAGTATGTGAAATTGATGAGTTGAATTGGCTAATATTTCAAAGTGTTTCATGTTATATGTTGAATGAGTTGAGATTATTTGTGTTGAACTGAGTGGTGTTGAGAAGATGCATGATGCATGCTGTTGAGTTGTGAATTTGAACTTAGTATTAGAAGAGAGTGAGTTGTTTTATAAGTTGAAATATCCTATTGTATGGATATAAGTTGTGTTGCTCTATGAGCCTAAAGATAAAAACTCTTTTAGAGAGAAAATTGCCTTCTAAAGTGGAGCATTATTTCTAGAAGTTGTCTACTATATATTCTTAGTTGAAACAATATGGAGACTAGGTCAATCCATATTATTGTAGAAATGACCTATAGAGTAAGGTATGAAGTTAGGGGTAACCCTAATTGATTGTTGTAAAGGTATACAATATTTGGAGGGTAGTCGATAGATTAATTTCATACAAATTTAGTTAATGCATACTTATATGATGGTATAACTATACCCAAGTTGTTCTATTTTTCATAAGACTAGACTTTCTTAGTTTAAGTGACAATAGTCGAGAAATCAATAAAGGTGTTGAATTGGAATTGGTATGCTAAATGTTATGTTGACTTGACATTGGTATGCTAGACATTGTATTGGCATGATCTCTTTTTAGGGATCAGACATGGTGATTCAATAGAATCAAGCCACTTTGATTGTTTGCCTGTGTTGTTAGAGATCTTTTAGTTGAAAATGCATGATGACACATAAAGTTGTTAAATAGTAAAGTTGTTGTTTTGTGAAGTTGTTAATGTTGTCTATTTTTAAATTATATATGTGTTGAGAAGCTATCTAGTAAGTTGATTATCTATGTTGTTTAAGTTGAACTATGGTGATTGTTGAGTAGCTATTATTGATGATGTTATATAGTTAACTTATTGCATCTATATTTTTACACAAGCTTACCCTTGTTTTCTCATGATTTAGACTACAATGATTATACTTGCTATGGAAGTAGATTAGGATTAGGCTAGATGGTGAACATGATGGTTGGTCGTGCAGGACATGGCATTTTGTGGAGGTTGTCTGTTACAAGTTTGTATAAATACTTGACTAACACTTAAAATTTTATTGCTTTCTAATATTGGTATTTGTATGTATATGTCCAGGGTTTTATTGAACCCGAAAGAGGGGCTTTTTATGTTTTCAAGTTGTTATAAGTAGGGATTGAATTATGTTTTCTACACCCTATGCATATATCTGTTGCATGAATATCTAAGTATTACTTGCATGTGAATCATAGGTTAAAAGATATTTATATTTTTTGCTACTTAGTCATTATGCTATAGCATGAGTATAGTAATCTTCTAGGTCATTACATCTATGAGTAGTGACAACCTTCACGGGATTCAAGAAACTAAGATCGAACGCATAGAAACTCATGGAGTTAACCTTGGGAAGATGTGTGAGAATGTGAACATAATATTCATTGTAGAAATGTGGAAAGAACATGAATCCTTACTATGACAAAAGAACTAGATCTAAAATAACCACCAACTTCATCCTAACTTGATTCAACTCGAAGTAGATTAAATTCAACGATTCAAATAGGCAATGACAAGCTATATTATTTATTGGTTGGCTTATAACAAATTGAGATTTTTAAGCTCAAACCTAATTGAACTCAATTAGAGTCTACCCTTAACCAATATGGTGAGACTTTTAGGATGGTTATTACAAAGTCAACAAACTCAGCACATATGGTAGTTTGTGATTAGATGACAATATATGGTTAGTGCATATATAATTTTCTCTTAATAAATTAATTTTGACTATATTCAATATTGTAAAAGAAAGCCTTTAATAACATTTAAGAAAGGTCTTTAATAGTACTTTCAGATGTTGTCTATGCCTCTATATTGTTAAAGAGGAGTTTGTTTTACTAGCACCTTTTAAGTGTTATTTAAGGACCTTGTTAGAAAATATTTTTTTCAAACAAGCACTATCTAATGGCGTCCTTAGACAATGTTTGTTGTGTTTTAGATAAATGTTGTCTATGCTAACACATATTTAGAACATCAAATATTTTTAGGTATGTCCTCAAATTAAGGATGTACAACATCAATTTTTACATTATAAGCTTTTATACTCTAAATCCTTACTTGAAAGTTATTATTTTTATAAGATATGATGAATTGTATCCAAAACAAAAGAACTGAAAAATTAATAACAAGAAGTAAATTTAATAGTGTTTTGAATACAAAAGGAAAATAAAAAGACAATAATTTATAATTAGCTCCTTACGTTGTTGCATAATAGCTTGAGTCACATCTTCAGCATGACACAAAATCACAAGAAAATACATAAAATTTAATGATTTCAATTGAGATTAAATACACAATTCACAAATATATCAATCAAAAGAAAAATATATTCTAATAACCAAACAAACATAAAAGTAAAAGTAAAGAAAATCTGACATAAAAAAAAGCACTATCATTGAACTTCTATAAGTAAAAATAAGGAACTAAGCTACATTCAAGTAAAAATTGAATGGTGCAATATATCTAACAACATAAAAATATTAAATGAAGATATTTTTAATATGCTATAAGAAAATCTTAGTTTGTAATTAGTAGATATAATAGGGAAATAATTACTTGTATCCTTCTTTTCGCAACCCAGTCTTCTTGAACTCTTCAAGCATACTTATTCCACATGTTTCAAAGTTCTCAACCACTGCAAATAAAATTACAGTACAAGTTGGATTGAAAATTCTAAGAACCAAATGCAAGTTACCATATTTTTTGGTCTATTACTTAGCACGTATATCCATTATAATATACTACAAACTTGTCTCCTGTGTAACTTTGATTCTTTCGTACTCTTCATTAAATCCAACTTATGATCATATGCATAATAACAAAGTGTTTTGGTGAGCGTTTACTTTCTATTGTGATAAGTGTCAATTTTACCTAAATGACTTAACTCTTGACACTTACCTAACTAGTTTTTTTTCAAAAAAATTTATGTTTTACGCCTAAACTATTACAAAATTCAAGAGAGTTGTATAAATTAATTAGTTTATAAAGAGTTCATGAAAATTTTACTTAAACTCTTGATTTATATCTTGTAGGATTCAATGAAAATCTAAAGTCTCAAAAAACTCCAATCCGATTAGGTGTTTGGCAAAAAGCTTAGCCTTTTTTAAAGGGCTGAGTCATTTCTAAAGGGTTGAGTCATTTAGAGGCAAAAAGCAAGATTTGAAGCAAAGGTTAAATCACTTAGTCATTTTGAAAGGGTTGAGCGGATTGGCTTCAAAGGGGTATATATTTTTGGTTTCTTAGGGGCTTAGCGAATTCAAAAAGGCTTAACCATTGAGGTTGCTTCACCATGAAGAATCCTCCAAACCGCTTAGGTTTTTGGAAAAAGGGTTGAGCAATTCATTCTCTCTCCTTCATAATTTTTTTATTTTGTTGCACATATATAAGGACTTCGGAGGGAAAAAAAAGGAGGGAGAACCACTAAGACTTGAGTGAAAATTACAAAGCAAGCAAAGAGTCCAAGAATCAACTAGGAACGAGGGTTCTAGGATCTTTCTTTATTCTACACCTTCTCCATGCATTTTGGATTAGCTCTCATCACCAAGAGTGGATAAATTTTCTTTTTGTTGGGGTTGAACAATCCATCAAACTCTTATGTACTTCTTTTTTATTTATATATATGATGATCTATTATTTAGTGTTAGTAATTTTGATTCTATTCTCAATGGTAAGGTGACTTGATCACTCATCTTTGATCTTTGATTTGGATTTTGGTTGGAAAACATTTTCTAAATTTGATTTTGAATCAAATCACCTAACAACTCTAAAGGCTAGGAACAAATTTGGAGTTGTTATTCGAACAAGTTCTTAAACTTAATGCAAGGTTTCTAATTTTATAAATAGAGGAATCATTTATTGAGTTAGACTTCTTAGAATTTCTAAATGCAAGAAATTGATTTGGAATGTATTTAATGAACTCAATAACATTGGATAATAGAAATCATATATAGATGATCTTAGGAGAACATAGGGTGAGATTGGTGAAACTCAATCCCAACAGATTTACATACTATTATCTTTCAATTTTACTGCTGCTTTGTTGTTTTTTTTTTTAATAATTCCAATATCGTAATATGAACATAATCATATTTATAATTTCTGTGAATCTTTCTATTTCAAGCTTTTACTATGATATCATAAATTGTAAGTATCTTTCAAGTTCCTGAGGTTTGACAATTGGTATTTAATTTCTATACTATAGTGACTTGATGTGTTTGCCTCACAATCCCATCAAGTTCTTGGCGCCATTGCCGGGGAAACTTAAAACTTTGTTGCTAATTGTTTACTTTTTATTGTTATCCAAATTCTTTTACATGCAAGAGAAATAAGACCTTTACATGTTGTGAGGTAGCAAGAGACAAAAGAACCAACCATGTTCAAGGTCCCAATAACTATCATATCTTAGCTGCTATCAATATGACAATTATTAAACATTACAAAGTTTTTTCATTGTCCTATTGTTTCCAAAAATATATCTTCAAATTTGGCACTCAATATCTTATTTAAAAATGCACTAAAAAGATTAACCGATCTAGGATTTGACTATTGTACTTTGCCATTGATTTCTTGGTCACCTTATATAACTTAGCATTGTCAACTGAAACTTGAAAAAAAGCAAAAGAATAAAATTGAAGTAGAATCTAAAAGACCAAGAAATTGAGAACTTTGACAAGGATGCCAAAGGACTTGAGTTTGTCATTGTAATTGACAAGGTTGTCATCAATGTGTTACCCATCATTGTTGAAGTTGGCAATGGTTTAGGGCAGACTAAGCGAATGAAGGCTCCATGTCCTTTATACTCTTTTTTAAGGAACTTAAGGTGTTATAACACTTCTTTCAAGGATTTCTATCATTTAATCAGTAAAATTTTCATGAATCCCTTAGCTCAACTCGAACAATTGATTTATAAAACAAGGAAAAAAGAACTAACCATAACAAAAATCATTTAATAAAATTTCCAAATCAAAATTTTAATTATAAAAAAATAAAAATATATTTTGTAACACTATTAACTTTATGTGCTTTATTTAATTATTTTATTTTATGATATGTGTTGTTTAATTATTGATATGTTGTGTTTATAACTATTTTAGAACTCTAAGGGTCAAGAGATCCTTGAGTGTTAAGTTATTTTTGAGGTTGTTTTAGTCAAGGTCAAGTTGACCAAGTTTACAGAAGGGTATTTAGGATTTTTCTTAAGATGTGAACTTTATAAGTTCACATCCTAAGAAAAGTTAGAGAAAACTAGAGTGATAGACCTAAATCCTAAATTCTAAACCCTAAACCCTGGACTCTAGAGTAGGAGAGAATCATTTTCCTTCTAACTTAGTGATGGAGGAGGCCCATGGGCCAAAGGCCCAACTACTAGGGCTATGGCAAAGAGGATCCAAGAAGAATGGGCCCAAGCTCAAGGAAAGCCCGTCACACTTTTTAGTTAGGCTTTGACTCAAGCCCAAGTAGAGTAGGAGTAGTGTAGGTTTGGGCCTTAGGACTTGTATTTCTTTTAGGCCTTGTATTTCCGGCCACTTAGACTAGGAATTTCATTTCATGGGCATTTGAATTTAGGATTTAATTAGGGTTGCATGTGTATATTCATTAGAATGTAATTAGCTTTGCATTTGGTATGCATTTCGGCCATGTGCACACATGCACATGGTGTGACCGAAATGCAACTCAAATGGAAGACAAATTACATTCCAAATGAGGTGCACATGGGTGGTGTCCGGGTTTGGCTCCAAAATTTGAATTTTGAATTCAAATTTTGGGCGCCTAAGGTTAAGTGAAACCATGGTATGGTTTACTTAACCTTAGGCTAACCCATGGTTCACCTTAACCTAATTTTCCCTATATATTCTATATGGCCGAGAATTGTAGCTACTTTTGGATTTATGAATGAGATTTCTCACATTGAACTCTCTCCCTCCGAAAGTCACTCTTAACCTACCTCTACCCTCCTTGAGCTCCGCTCTTTGTAGAGCTAGGTTATTTCTTACTTCTTCCGGACTTGGCTTGGTTAAGCTTAGGTCACATTGATGCTTCTTGGAGCTTCCTTCCTTGCCATACTTCCAAGGAACCGAGAAGGATTTGAAGGTGTTCTTTGAGGATTCACCAAGTGGAACCTCATCAAGTGGTATCTAGAGCTTCGGTCTTCAAGAGATAAGCCTCTAATTCTTGTCTTTTGATTGTTTGATCCGTGGTTCATCCTTGTTCATCTTTGTGTTCTTGTCAATTTTGAGTTTAATCTTTCCTAGATCTAATTGTGCCTAAAAATTGATGGATCTAGTTATCATGTTGCTTGAATGATTCATATATGCGTTTATGTTCAATTGCTTTTCATGAATCATGCTCCATTCTCTTATGCTTTTAGGAAATTTTTGCCTATGATCTTTTTGATTTGTTTGAGTTTTAATTGAAATCTTTTTCGGTCATTGAGTGTTTGAGTAATTTTCTTTTTGAATCCATGTCTAGAAGTAATGTGTAGTTCTTTTCTTGTTGATCATTCCTAGCTATGCTTGTTTAACTTTGTGTTTTCATTTTCATCTTGAAATTTTTTTTTGGATTTGGCCGAGATCCTTTTAGTCCTAGTGTGCTCATAATTTTTGTTTTGAATTGAGTTCATAAACTACTATTAGTTCATTAGTAGTTTTCTTAGTTTTTAAGTTTCCTATATTATAAAATGTCTTGCAATTTTTTTTTCTCTATCCGTGAGTTTGATCTTGTGTAGTTTCTAGTTGCTGAAAATTTTTGTTTAAAATCCATTTGAAATTTGAATTTAGGAGCCAAAACCGTGGCATGTGCTAAACAAACAAGCAAGTAAAAAAAGCATGTTGAATCTACATTACATTTGACCTAATTTCTTTGTCATTTGAAGTTCAAATTTGACACGATTTTTGTGCTTAAAACAAAGTGTGACCGAGAGTGTGTGCTTCAACATTTTAAAAAGGAAAAAGGCATCTCCTAAAGATTTATAAAAAAATATATATAGAACAAAGTTCAAAAGAAAGAAATGCAAAAGCAATTTGATTAAAAAAAAAAAAGCTAAACCTAATTTTGTGTTCAAAGAAAAAGCCAAACAAAGGAGATTGTTGACTTGTTTAGTGTCTCGATTAGTTGTGTGTAATTCTTTATCATATATTTCAGCTTATCATTGTTGAGTGTTTTGATTTGTTATTCCATTCTAGAACCTATCTAGGTCTATTCATTCTTGTTCTAGCCAATTCTTTGTTCTTTGCTCATCTATATTGTCTTCTTCGAAACTCCATTCTTGTCTTCCTTAAATCTCAATTCTCTTGGATGTTTGTGTTCATTTTTGTACTCAAGTGTGACCTAAGTTTTGACCTAGTCTATCTCCATAGAAGCTAGTTCTACAAGGGTCATCAAAAGAGGACTAAGAAAAGGAGGAGGAAGGTGACCAAGAGAGCTCTTGGATTGGCTACCAAACACTCAAACACTAAACACTTTTCTGGCTGGAATTTTGTGGCTGCTGGACTTACACACATCCGAGGAGACACATTGGAGATTCATTTGATTTGTAATTGAATTTTAAAAAAATAAAAAAAAATAGAGTAATTAGTGACGGATTTAGAGACCAAATTTTTCCTTACTAATTGAATTTTCCTTGCAAAAATTGGTCTC